TATATAAACAAACAGGAGGTTTATATCATCTTTATATATAAACAAACAGGAGGTTTATATCATCTTTATATATAAACAAACAGGAGGTTTATATCATCTTTATATATAAACAAATAGGAGGTTTATATCATCTTTATATATAAACAAATAGGAGTTTTGAACTATATGAAGAATAAGTTGTTTACTTTTCTAAATTCCTAAAGTTTCAACACCAAGCGATATTCTGATGACTGATAGAGATGGACAACTTCCGAAGCCTAACGTGGGCACTGTAACTCAATAAAATTTCTCGCTATATTACAAATAATACTGAATAATATTACACAGGTTCACTCACTGACCAGAAAGAATATTAAGACAAATCCTAGCTCTCCTTCAGCGTAAGCGCTCGCCATATTGGTTCCAGTATATAAAAACAAAAATGGTAGGACGTTCATGATAAAAGTTACAAATACTATTAAATATTAAGTGATTCGCTAGCTTTTGGCGTTCAACACCAAGTTGACCAAGTTTTGTTATTGTTTTTAAGCTGCAACGTTATCGAGGCCATTCCTAAGTTGTAACACAATAGGTTTAACCATTCTATTTTAAATTTATAACGTGGCTAATTTTAAAAATGTATGAAATAGTTGTTGTTGTTTTTCTCTTCCCGTTGCTATGTTGTTTTGAGAATTTATACTCTAAAGTGAAGGACTGTTTTTGTTTCAGTACAAAACTGCGCAAGGGCTATCGAGCTGTGATATCTACCGCGGGGATCAAACTCAGAATATAGTGTTACAAGCTCTTTAAACTTACAGCAGAACTTCCAATTTGACACCAAGGCGAAGGAAACTTATTATAGATTTTTCTATAGTCTTATTCCCCCTTCTCCAATGGGCCAGCGGTAAGTTTAAGGACTTACTTACAATGTTAAAATCCGGGTTTCGATTCCCCGTGACGTGAACAGAACGCAGATAGCCTTGTGTGTAGCTTCGCGCTAAAACAAACAAGCTGTGGAATAATAGAGACATAACCCGTCCCACTGAACATACTCGCCCTCTCAGCTGTTGACGAGTTATAAAGTGATGGTTAATCCCACTATTCGTTGGTAAAAAGAGCAGCTCAAGAGTTTGTGGCGGGTAGTGTTGACTAGCTGTCGTCCCTCTAATCTTTCATTGCTAAATTATGGACGGCTAGCGCAGATAGCTCTCGTGTAGCTTTGCGCGAAATTCAAAACAAATCAAACCTTTTGTCTTAATGATAAATTTGACCTTACCTCGTGATATTACGTTTGTGATTAGTAGTGAAGCTAAGCCTCTCTCAAGAGCACTTTCTACAAGTCATAACGGCGGCTCAAATCACCATTTTAGTTTGTACTACAAGTCTCTCATGGTGTTTAGAAGTAATTACTGTTCTTCACTGCTGTTGTAGCGCAAGCATCATCATCTTCCTTTCCTTTATCTGAGAACATTTATTGGGTTCCCGTGGCCTTGTTAAGGCTCCATAATTTAAAATATTACACGTGGTTCAGCTGCGGTTCACATTTAGGAATGATTGTTACTCTTGTTACCTACTTGTTACTCGCTCCTTGTGTTGAAAATCACACGTTTTACCGAGATACGCCCATCTTAGGTTAGGGCGTTAAGCATATGGCGTAGTTTTAATGGTTTGACACGCACCAATACATTTATTACCCCCCTCTCCCCATTTTATTCCCCGCTGACGTCATACACTGACAGCTCGTAACCTTGACAAGGAAAGCTGTCTCAAGTTTCTTGTCATACACACCTGTTATGTTGAATAAACAAAAGTTGATAACTGAATTTCACATTTCAGCTAACAACGTTTAAACGCTGAAGTTTGAGTGGGAAGTCAGTTTAGTGTACGTTTTGGAGTCCCTTGTTTAAAAAGTAACTGATACGTTCAACCATATTAGGACACTGACATGTATATAATTAGAAAAATTAATTATTAGCCATTAGTTACTACCAGGAAATATATAACAGAAGGGTGGTGTTGAATGATGTGTGTATGTAGTTAGTTACACTGTTCTTAATTAGAAAAATTAAATGATTAGCCATTAGTTACTACCAGGAAATATATATATTAATTTCGTCATTGGATAATTCTCAGAATTGTATAGTAAATATGTAATTATACGAACCGTTCGAAATTTTGCACACTGGTAAACTGTACGAACAATTGGAAAGGATTTGCAGTGATTTGTAATTGTTTGCATGTTAGAATACTATGGAGGACGACTTGAGAAATTGCACACTGGTAACGTATAGGAAACCATTGAAAAGTTTATATATTGTTGAGATGCCTCGTCAGCACTAGATAAAGCAGATTTAGTGTGGCTGGTATATTTTGTTCTTCTTTACTCATGGGTTCATTGAAGAATTATTTTCCTAATTTGTTTTATGAAATTTCCATACTTTAAATAGTTTAATTTCCATACTTTAAAAGAGTTTAATTTCCATACTTTAAAAGTTTAATTTCCATATCTTAAGTTTAATTTCCACACTTAAAAAGAGTTTAATTTCCACACTTAAAAAGAGTTTAATTTCCACACTTAAAAAGAGTTTAATTTCCACACTTTAAAATAGTTTAATTTCCATATTTTAAGTTTAATTTCCACACTTTAAAAGAGTTTAATTTCCATATTTTAAGTTTAATTTCCATACTTTAAAGAGTTTAATTTCCACACTTTAAAAGACTTTAATTTCCACACTTTAAAATAGTTTAATTTCCACACTTTAAAATAGTTTAATTTCCACACTTTAAAAGAGTTTAGAAGATACTCTTCGATAACTGCAGTAAATTCACATAGTGCACCCCCCCCCCCCCGGTGATTCAGCGGTAAGTTTCATAGCCTTCAACATTAAAACTCTGGTTCCGATACCCGCAGTGGGCAGATCATAACCCATTGTGTACTTTTGCGCTCAGTAACAAACATACATATATATATATATATATATACATATATATTGCAAATTTCACTATTCTTTAAGGTTCAAAGTCATAACTAACTATATTACGTTAAACGATTTTACATTTTCCGTAATCTTTTCATCTGAACATAATGTAGCTCATGGAAACATCACGAACAGTATTGAGAGCGTGACGTTCTTTATGCTGTTAAGAATGGACGCGTTTTGTTTTTTCATCTTTTCGAAGTTGTGTGGAGATGGGTAAAGATGTTATCTGTTGGTTTCTATATTAACATTGCAAGGCAAAGTATCCCATTCTTGTAATTGTTAAGCAAGCTTAGAAGTTCATCTCCAACATTTTTAGCTGATGCTAGAACAGATAAGGTCAATAGAAACAATATCCATTACAAGGGAGGGAGGACTTAACGTGGTAGTGTGGAACATCTTTTTGTAAAATACAATACAATATAAAACTGAGTTTCAAAATGTGCATGCTCATGCGCGATAAGTCAGTAGAATGAAAGGCAGAAATTAAGTGTCTAAAAGGTACTGAACTTGTTGGGAACAGATATTTTATCCTCCTTATCACTGGGTGTAAAGGATTTGAGAACCCAATCCTTTAGAACAAAGTGGATATAAACATGAAGTACTCACCGCGATCCCTCCACTTACCAGCATTTGGATCAACCACCTCACAACGATGTCATTACATACCAGGGTATGGACCAACTACCTCACAACGATGTCATTACATACCAGAGTATGAACCAACCACCTCACAACGATGTCATTACATACCAGGGTATGAACCAACCACCTTACAACGATGTCATTACATACCAGGGTATGGATCAACCACCTCACAACAATGTCATTACATACCAGGGTATGGATCAACCACCTCACAACAATGTCATTACATACCAGGGTATGGATCAACCACCTCACAACAATGTCATTACGTGTGAGGGTTTGGTCCAACCACTTCACAACGATGTCATTACATACCAAGGTTTGGACCAACCACCTCACAACAATGTCATTACGTGTGATGGTATGGACCAACCACCTTACAACAATGTCATTACATATCAGGGTATGGACCAACCACCTCACAATGATGTCATTACATACCAGGGTATGGACCAGCCACCTCACAACGATGTTATTACGTGTGAGGGTTTGGATCAATCACCTCACAACAATGTCATTACATACCAGGGTATGGACCAACCACCTCACAACAATGTCATTACATACCAAGGCTTGGACCAACCACCTCTCAACAACGTCATTCCATACCAAGGCTTGGACCAACCACCTCACAACGATGTCATTACATACCGGGGTATGGACCAACAACTTCACAGCGATGTCATTACATACAAGGGTATGGACCAACAACTTCACAACGATGTCATTATGATGTCTCTACTAACAGGGTTTGGAACAACCAGAGACGTCGCTAGGTGCTTAAAAGATTCGAGCCCATAAGTACGGGAATTTCAAATGGGGATTCAGGGTACTGTCAAATAGAATCGGGGCAAGGGCCCTGCGTGCCAGTGCGTAGCGATATAACTGGGAACAACCATATCTCAAGGATATCATTACGTATTCTGGTTTTTACCACTTGCAGTTGTTGGTCATTTCAAAAGCATACAAAATATTACACGGAGAGTTAAGAATGTCACGTGTAGAGTGACTCTACATTGACCGTTGACGGTCAATCCCACTATTCGTTGGTAAAAGAGTAGCCCAAGAGTTG